ACAGAACAGAACAGAACAGAACGTCCGATCGAACGTCCAAGGACGTCTCGTCCCGCTTGCGGGAACGGCGTGAATCATGCAGTGCGGGAAAAACCATGCACGGGTGAGAATCAAAAAGACACCCCTCAAGCCTCAAGGGTACTGCTACCCGGCGGTGTGCATGTATGACAAGTACTCAGTCCGAAATTCATCCGAAAACCTGCCGTGCGCATTGTGCAACTCATGCTCCAGACTGGTGTTGAAACGATCTCGGAAGAACTTGTCGATTGAGTCAGTCCATTTGGTTCTCGGGCGGCCAACTCTGCGGGGGCCTTCTGGGCGCCAGCGCATGGCTAGAGACGGCCACCCGCGCCTCTCGACGCACGTTCTCCTCAGGATGTTCCAGCGTGTTGTATCTATGACTTCGAGCCAGTCAGAAACCTTGTAAATCGACATTGCTCTTTCCACTCTGCGTTTGCATTGATGCCCAGTTTCCTCCCACGATTCGTGATCACCTCTACGAAATCCAACAATCCGTCGTAACATTTGCGCCCGGGCGCTGGCTATTCTTCCTCTTTGCCGTGCGGTCAGCGGTGTCGTGGCAAGACTGTAGACAGCCGTTGGCGTTACGACGCTGTCGAATAACTTCAAGCGCATCTTCAGTGACACCCGCTTGTTGACGAAAGCTGTCTTGAACAAGTGCCATTTTGACCATGCGCATTGCGTCCGGTATTCTAAATTGCATGCGCCTCGTTCTCTGAGATCTCCGTGGAAACGCTTCCCCAAGTATTTATGCATATCAGTTTTCAACATCACTGGAAGACTACAACCGTCACTTTGCAAAACCAGTGGTTCCTCAAGAATGGCAATAGCAGGATCGTTCGTGAATATTCTGGTCTTGCTTGCATTCAGCTCTAGACCGCATTGAGACAACTCCTGACGGAGAACCGCGAGCATTTGGGAAACGTCGTCCGCAGAATTGCCGTAGAGAAGTATGTCGTCTGCGTAACGTATGTTGGTCAACATCTCGACTCCTCCAAGATCGAGCCCCATGCCGCGGACGCGGTCTTTGAATCGCCGCAAAGCATGCTCAAGACCAGCGTTGAAGAGAAGCGAACTCAAAACGTCTCCCTGCTTGACCCCCCGGCTGATGTCGAAATGCCTGCTGCCGTGGACGGTTCCGAACTGGCCAGAATACACATCAGACAGTAAACGAAGATATTCTGTATGAACACCTTGAGAACGAAGGGCTTCGAATAATGCTGGGTGCTCGATTCGATCAAACGCCTTGGTAAGGTCCACGCTGACAATCCAGAGGTTGCGGCCCCATTCCCAACATTTCCCACAAACTTCCTCAAGCACGACAAATGCATCGCCCACCGGTTTCCCTTGCCGGAAACCGACCTGATCCGCAGCCTGTTGAGCGTCAAGCGTTGGTTGGATGCGTGCGAAAACGAGTCTGGAAAAGATCTTGTACGTCATTTTGAGCAGAGCGATGGGCCTCCAATTCTTGACGTCCTTCCGTGGGCCGCTCTTCGGAAGCATCGTGAACAGAGTTTCTTTCCAGCTGGGTTCAAGAAGACCTGTTTGAAGCATATGGTTGAAACAACGCAGAAGACACTCCAGAAGCGCATCGCCGCCATGCAATTATCCTGGCGAAAGACCCAACCATAAGCAATTGTTGGTAACGCGTTGTGGGTGCCGCTTTCGGTGGGGCTCCATATGGGGCCACGAAGCGCTGCCTTGGATGGGGGAACCGCATGCGGACTGCGCCACCGGGGCGGGCCTTCGGTGGAGCTCCCTATGGGGCTACGAAACGCTGCCCTGGGTGGGGGAACCGCATGCGAACTGCGCCACTGGGGCCTTCGGTGGAGCTCCCTATGGTGCCACGAAACGCTGCCCTGGGTGGGGGAAGCTCCCTATGCCACGAAACGCTGCCCTGAACTGCGAACTGCGCCACGGGGGCTTTCGGTGGAGCTCCCCATGGGGCCACGAAGCGCTGCCCTGGGTGGGGGAACCGCATGCGAGAGCAGCCACTGGGGCCTCCGGTGGAGCTCCCTATGGGGCCACGAAACGCTGCCCTGGGTGGGGGAACCGCATGCGAACACCCCCACTGGGGCCTTCGGTGGAGCTCCCTATGGGGCCACGAAACGCTGCCCTGGGTGGGGGAACCGCATGCGAACACCCCCACTGGGGCCTTCGGTGGAGCTCCCTATGGGGCTACGAAACGCTGCCCTGGGTGGGGGAACCGCATGCGAACACCCCCACTGGGGCCTTCGGTGGAGCTCCCTATGGGGCCACGAAACGCTGCCCTGGGTGGGGGAACCGCATGCGAACACCCCCACTGGGGCCTTCGGTGGAGCTCCCTATGGGGCCACGAAACGCTGCCCTGGGTGGGGGAACCGCATGCGAACACCCCCACTGGGGCCTTCGGTGGAGCTCCCTATGGGGCCACGAAACGCTGCCCTGGGTGGGGGAACCGCATGCGAACACCCCCACTGGGGCCTTCGGTGGAGCTCCCTATGGGGCTACGAAACGCTGCCCTGGGTGGGGGAACCGCATGCGAACACCCCCACTGGGGCCTTCGGTGGAGCTCCCTATGGGGCCACGAAACGCTGCCCTGGGTGGGGGAACCGCATGCGAACACCCCCACTGGGGCCTTCGGTGGAGCTCCCTATGGGGCTACGAAACGCTGCCCTGGGTGGGGGAACCGCATGCGAACACCCCCACTGGGGCCTTCGGTGGAGCTCCCTATGGGGCTACGAAACGCTGCCCTGGGTGGGGGAACCGCATGCGAACACCCCCACTGGGGCCTTCGGTGGAGCTCCCTATGGGGCCACGAAACGCTGCCCTGGGTGGGGGAACCGCATGCGAACACCCCCACTGGGGCCTTCGGTGGAGCTCCCTATGGGGCCACGAAACGCTGCCCTGGGTGGGGGAACCGCATGCGAACACCCCCACTGGGGCCTTCGGTGGAGCTCCCTATGGGGCTACGAAACGCTGCCCTGGGTGGGGGAACCGCATGCGAACACCCCCACTGGGGCCTTCGGTGGAGCTCCCTATGGGGCCACGAAACGCTGCCCTGGGTGGGGGAACCGCATGCGAACACCCCCACTGGGGCCTTCGGTGGAGCTCCCTATGGGGCCACGAAACGCTGCCCTGGGTGGGGGAACCGCATGCGAACACCCCCACTGGGGCCTTCGGTGGAGCTCCCTATGGGGCTACGAAACGCTGCCCTGGGTGGGGGAACCGCATGCGAACACCCCCACTGGGGCCTTCGGTGGAGCTCCCTATGGGGCCACGAAACGCTGCCCTGGGTGGGGGAACCGCATGCGAACACCCCCACTGGGGCCTTCGGTGGAGCTCCCTATGGGGCTACGAAACGCTGCCCTGGGTGGGGGAACCGCATGCGAACACCCCCACTGGGGCCTTCGGTGGAGCTCCCTATGGGGCCACGAAACGCTGCCCTGGGTGGGGGAACCGCATGCGAACACCCCCACTGGGGCCTTCGGTGGAGCTCCCTATGGGGCTACGAAACGCTGCCCTGGGTGGGGGAACCGCATGCGAACACCCCCACTGGGGCCTTCGGTGGAGCTCCCTATGGGGCCACGAAACGCTGCCCTGGGTGGGGGAACCGCATGCGAACACCCCCACTGGGGCCTTCGGTGGAGCTCCCTATGGAGCCACGAAGCGCTGTAATGGGTGGGTGAAAGGGGGAGGAGGAGGGAGGGAGGAGGAGGAGGAGGAGGAGGAGGAGGAGGGGGAGGAGGAGGAGGAGAGGACGCGGGCACCGTCTCTTCAAAACGAGGACCCAACACCACAGGATGGTTGGGAAAAACATCTCGAGGGTGATGCCGTTCTTGTCTGCGCACTTGCCCTTCTTCATCTTCCGCAGCGTAGCCTCCAGCTCGACCACTGTGAAAGGCTGGATGTTGTAAGGACCTTTATTGCAATATGTGCGAAGCCAATCTGCACGTGATTCCGGCGAGCCCGTTAAGAAGATGTGTTCCAGCGAACCCCGAAATTCATCTGCAACGATGGGGCATCGTCGGGAATTCTGCACAGGATGCATGTGGATTGCAGGGATGTGCCCGATGCCGGAAAACCTCTTGAGATGTTCAGACATTTTGTTGTCACAATAGGTGCGCAAGTTCTTCCGGTGCAGCCTGCTGATCATCTTCGACAGACGAGAACGCTCATGCTTGTCGGAGGTACTGCGACGCCTAAGCCGTAAAGCCCGGGTTTCCGGATCTTTCCATGGATGTGGTGCAGCTTCGGCACAATCGCCTCAATCGCCTTCAACGACTCCGTGAACACTCGATGGACATTCTGTTCTTCTCTTGGGGCGAAGCGACGCATTGATTTTATACTCCTGGACTCCGGCTTGGTTTACTCGCAGTGCCGACCGAGTAACCACCTAGACATGGGCTCTGATCACCGTGCTGTGTTGGCGAGCTTGCTGGTTGACGGACACAGAAGGGCTCCAGGCTCCCGTCGTAAGAAGGCCAAGCGGTGGAAACCACAGCTGGGCCCAGATGGGCGCGACAATGTATTTCAAGATGCCGTCCGCCAGAATTCGAACATTTCTTATGTCAAGTGCCTTTCCGACGTGGAGGCCGCAATATCCAAAGCTAGGCAAACGCGTTCCACTATTCGCAGTGCACCTACTAGCAAGCGGCCTGGATCCGCCGCGGGGGGTCTACGATCAATCACATCGAGAAACACATACGCCGTTCGGACGTTTGCGAGTAGGCCCTTTGCGAGTAGCGGAACGCGCTCGGAGACCGACGGCGAGGTCGGCAACGGCGACGACCCCCACGGCGGCAGCGGCGGCGGCGCTGCGGCGACAGCGGCGGCACTGCGGCGACGGCGGCGCTGCGGCGACGGCGGCGACGACGGAGAGGGCGGCGCCGGCGGCGACCCCCACGGCGGCGGCGGCGGCGCAGCGGCGACACGGACGCCGGCGACGACGGCGAGGTCGGCGACGGCGGCGAGTCCCACGGCGGCGGCGGCGGCGGGGCCTCTCGCCGGCGCAGCGGCGCCGCTGCAAGGCGGCGCCCGAGCAAGACGCGCCCCCACTGGCCGCGCGGGGGCGGCCCAGCGACCTGGGCCGCGGCTCGGCCCATCGTCGGACCGCGCTGGTCGTGCCACGGCGGGCGTCTCCTCCTCCTCCTCCTCCGCCGCCGCCTCCGCCTCCTCCTCCGCCTCCGCCGCCTCTGCCTCCTCCTCCGCCGCCTCCGCCGCCGCCTCCGCCTCCGCCTCCGCCGCCTCCGCCGCCGCCGCCGCGCCTCCGCCGCCGCCTCCGCCGCCCCCTCCTCCTCCATCTCCTGATTCCCTCCTCTCTTCCTCCCAACCTTCCCGAATACCTCCAGATGTCACCTCCATCATGGGGTGGGTCTTCGTCACTTCGTCCAGGGTCGGCGACACTGGCCGTAAGGCCTTCCCAACGAATTACGGCCGGACCTAGAACAGAAGAACATCTTTCGAGACCATGAGACCCTGCGTCCGCCAAAACACACAGAACAACCAAGATTACCATCCCCAGGATGCACAAGAGCATCCGACAAACACGAGGAAGATCGGGGTACCCTCCCCGAACCCACCTCGATCTTAGACCTCGGTCCCACCGTCGACGGGCGCAGCCCGAACACGGCCACAAAAACGTACACTGAGATCTTGGCGTTGCAACCTTCACAACGAGCGTGTTCGCCCAGCTTCGGGCCCTGGAAAACTCACAGAACGATCCAGCTCAAAAAAGTGACGCAGAGAGATGGGGTCTAGGGCTCCCGTCGTGATTGTTGGCGATGGTGCAGCTGTTTGCAATGTCAGATCTGAGGGTAGGCCAGGAACGTGGGCCCCCTCGCCGAAGTCCAAAGGCCCCCGGGGAGGTAGCAAGAGACCCGAAGCGGAGAGCATTCCGAGGTGGGGTGCCAAAACACGACACGAAGGGGATGCACGAGGACGTACTAGCACGATGTGTCCTCCTCGGAGGCTCCCGTCCGACCCGGACATGTATTTGGACGCCCGAAATGGGTACGGAAGAAATGGGTACAATGCCCAACAACAAATGTTGTCCCAAACCAACAGCGGCCGCTGTTGGGCAGGCGGCCTCCTGTCTCGAATGGACACAGGCCGCGGCGGCGTGGACAGCGAGTCCGGTTCAAAATGAACAGGAATTGTTGTTGGTCATTGTACCCATTCTTTCCGTACCCATTTCGGGCGTCCAAAATGTAGTATGACCATATTGTGGTGTGTCGTTTCCCGCGCGGCACGGCCGGGAAGCACCCACCACGAAGCACACACTAGAAAAGTCCTCGGAGCGCGCGTCGCCCCTTGGGGGGCGACACGCACACACACACACACACACACACACACACACACACACACATATATATATATATATATATATATATATGTATACATAGTAACAGTATGTTGGGATGACGCCGAGAGGAGAACACGAGGCACACTTCTGACAAGCAATATAATACCCCGAACCCCTTGGGAGGGGAACTGAGTTAGGAGGGCCAAAAACATTAGGGAGAGGAGTACTTTCTGCAAATGTATCAGGCCAGACCGCCCAGAATCAATATCCCTAATGCGAAGACGGGGAGCTGAGTGAGGCTTCGTCTTCATCGCGTGCTCAGGCTCAGGGAATCTGTGGTTCTCGATGAACTTCCAAGGCCAGGGTTGTTCTTCCCCCTCGTGCCAGCCGTATCCTGCGGTCGGTGCAGGAAGCGGGCGCGGCGCTCCCTCCTGCCACGCTGCGAAATCTCCCCCCCTTCACCCGCGCGAGACGGGAGTGAAGGTGGCACCCGTCTGGCCGCTCGCTGCCGAAGTGCCCGAGTGGAGTGCCCGTGGCTGGGTACCCGCCCTGGTGGCGCTGGGGGTTTGGGCGCCCAAACTTAGACGAGCGCGCTCCGCTGCTCGCAAAGTCACTTCTCGCAAATGGCATGGATCCCCCGCGGGGGATCTACGAGAGATTACAGAAAAGCTGACATGTGTTTGTCGGGCGTGTGCGAGTCGGCACTTTGCGAGTAGTGGAACGCGCTCGGCGAAAAATGGGTACGGGAAAGATGGGCACAATGCCCAACAACAAGTGTCGTCCAAAACAGACAGCGGCCGCTGTTGGGCAGGCGGCTTCTCGTCCTCTGTGAGCAGCGTCCGCGGCGGCGCAGACAGCGAGTCCTTCCACGGAGGGCCCAGGGACGTCCCCAGGGAGGTCCAGGACGTGCGCGATGGCCCCGGTGGAGGCCACGATGGCCCCCGACCTATCGAATACGCGCAAACGGAGACGCAGAAGCCTGCCAAGTGTCACACACGCACAAAACAAACATTTTCGCAGGGACCGACCGTCCCGGCATTCCTATAGTCCTACCACGAAATGTTCGTAGAACCCAACAATGTTCTAAGAACAAAAACAATGTTCTTAGAACATAAACCCGATGTGTTAAAACAAGACAGTCCCAGCCAGAAATGTTCTAAGAACATGTCGTGGGAACCACAAAAGGTTCTTAGAACATTGTTTGGTAGGGCTATAGGCGAGCTAGGACGTTTCGCCACTGCTTGAAACATGGATCAATGACTTTATTTGGGGTCGGGGGCAGAGGCGGCAACCCAAAGATGAAAAGAAACTGCTGTTGGGCATCGTACCCGTTCTTCCCGTACCCATGTCGATAGTCCCGACGGGGGCGTCACACTTGCTGGCACCGAGCGCCGTCGCCCGGCATCGGGGCCCAGGGCCCTCACGGATCGGTCCGGCTCGAGAGACGACTAGATCCACTGCCGAGAATTTCCCAACTCGCTCGCGACGTCGTCGATCGATTCGACGACGACGCCGAGGGGGAACAAAAGGGGGGGCGAGTTCGGGGGGAAGCATCGACCTGGAATCAGCGACACATCGCCGACAAGGCTAACAAGTCGGCGATAAAACCCCGATAGCGAAACCGCACGTTCTTGGGCGGGGCGGGCTATCAAGCTTACATCGGCGATGGGTCGGCGATGGGGGTTCGCTGCTCCCCCAGAGCCGGTCCACCCACTCTCGATGCCCCCCGAAACGACGACGATCCAAACGTTCCGGCGCGCACGCCGTCGCAGGGCGACGTGAACTCCAGCGCCCGGGACACGTTCTTCACCTGGGGCGACGGGTGGACGCGACGCGCGAAGCATCCGTGGTCGGTCAGTCCCAGCAGGAAAACGAGCAGCTGTCTGTCAGCGGCGGCGTGAAAGCACGAGGCGTCGAGCAGCAGAGGCCAAGCCTGACTTTGGGGATGGCTCGGTCTACGGTCCGATTTCCTAGCCCCTCTGGGCGATGGCGTTAGCTCGCCTCTGACAGCGGTTGGTTCTTGAGGGTAAGAACTAGCTATTGTTTGCAGTCTGGGTGTTTTTCCTTCTGTTCTGAACAACTGGGACATGTCTTCGGTCTAACGACCATGGAGCTGCCGTCGCCCTCCGTCGCCGCCCCGTCGCCGCCCGTCGTTTCGGCCGTACCTTCCGCACGGCGACCATGAAGCCGCCGTCGCCGCCCCGTCGCCCGCCGCCTCGTCGCTTCCCGTCGTCTGGGCTTGTCCGTCCGTCAGGCGGCTATGTGGCCGCCGTCGCCGCCCCGTCGCCGCCTCGTCGCCGCCGCAGGTTGCACAACATACATCCGTCCTTTTTCAAAAAACGAGTTCGGATCTTCGCCCCCCCGTGGGGATGTGCAAGTTACATGCGATGTTGTCTCATCGCTCGCTGGAAGTATGAACACCACCATCCCCGCCGAAGCAGGTTCCCCCCCCCCACCCACCATGCTCTGCAGCAAAGACACTATGCGCGCACACTCGTTTACCGCAGTTCGTCAAATTCGAGAACGCCTTGCATGCACACGAGTGCGTCATCGCACGCGCATGCCGCAATGTGTCCACAACAAACAATGCCCATACGGATTTCTAACAGGAATGCCCCAATAATCGATAGCGCTCATCGTTTTGCACTATGATTTTTTTAATATATATATATATATATATATATAATATATATATATATATATATTATATATATATATAGATGTGGTCCGAGAGGGCCCAAACACAGCCCAAGAAGCGCCCAAAACAGCCCACGAGGGCATCCCGACGGCTCTAAGAGGGAGCCAGGAGGGCAACTGTTTGGTCCTTCGCCCACGCACTACCTCCAAGACGCCCCCGTGACGCCTCAAGACCAGATCGTGGCTCCTCCTCCTCCTCCTCCTCCTCCTCCTCCTCCTCCTCCTCCTCCTCCCCTTCATCCTCCTCTTCTTTGACTCCACTCCCGCCTCTCCCCCATATTCCCCCTATTCCTCCTCCCCCTCCGCTTTCATCTGCTTCGTGCTCCTCTTTTCATCGGCGTCGTCCTCCCTGTCGCTCGCACCCCCGCTGCCCCTACTTCTACGGGCCATGGCACGGGCGCCCTACTGGTAGAATTTGCACGCATTGCATTTCAAGGTGCCCCTCTTCTCGTCACGCACGACATTGCTCGCGTCCGCAGAGAAGTCGACTTCGGAAAGTTCCCCCGGCACTTGCCACTGCACTGAAAGGCGTGCCAACTGCGCGACGTGAACTCTCCAAACACCGAGAACCACCATCAAAACCTGGAACTCTGTTAACGGGTCGGCGGACGTGGCGTAAGCCTAAAGAGTCGTCGACGTAGGGGGACTGACTAAAGCCAAGCCTTCCACGGCGGCAGGCGGAATCCCATCCCTGGATAAGCTCCCAGCCCGCACTCAACAGACTTTCGTGCCAGCGGCGCCCCAAAAAAAACACCCAGCAGTGCGCGGCCGCGAGGTGCGAAGCGCAAATGCACAACAGGGCGCCCGCAGCCCTTCTTAAACCAGTCAACGGGCCGACGCGTCCGCATCCGCAAAAGAGGGCCTGCGCGAAGGCGCCGACGGCGCTTACGGCAGGGCAGGCAACGGCATCAAGCAGCTCGCCGCGCTCAACGTGGGGCGCGGAGCTAGCGGCCTCAAAGAAGCGGGCTGCCAGTCCAGTCTCGCCCTTAACATCGCCCCCATACTGGACGGCACACCCAATAAACGTCGACGCCCCTACGATAGCTATCACATAAAAAGATGTTCCTGCAGCGCAGTTGAAGAGACGGCCCAAGTTCACACTTCCCCCCACCGCGCGCGCCTCGCGCGCGGCGTCGCCGCGCTCGCGGGCAAAGCCGAAGCGCCGACACCGTCGGGGGAACAGCTTCTCCAATTCAACTTCCAGGGCCTCAAACGCCACTGGCGCCAGGAGAGAGAATCTCTCACTTTGGGGAAGGGGTCTCGCGACGCATGCGCATTCAGCGCAAGCCGGGATCGCGGCGCGGATAGCGACGCCTTCGCGATGGCACGGCGCAACTCCCGCGGCCGACGGCGGCGCGACAGGCATCGCAGGGGCACGGGGAATCGCCTTCAAGGGCGGCGAGTCAACGTCGACACATAGCCTGGCGAGCTCCAGCCCCGAAGATACGGGCATCACAGCGTTGTTTCGTAGACGCGTTCCCTGAGCGCGCCGCGGTTTGGACGCGTGTTCCACCGCAGACGCTGCCCACCTCGGAGTCTGCATCCATGATCGGGAACAACGCTTCACCAATCCACATAATCCATTCAACCCACGGGCGCCCCCGCCACAGGCACCGCCCCGCGCGCCCATGATGCCCACCCGCCCCGGAAGCGCGACTTCGCGCGCACGCGGCGCTCGCAGTCGACGTCTCCGATCGTCGCAGGAGGGCGATCTCCGTCTGAGCCGCGCAAAGCCTCCTGCGGAGCGAGCCTTCGTTGTCTGGGCTGCTAGACAAGTCCAACAAGCAAGTTGCCACGAATCTCCCACTCGTCTGGGACGCAACGTCAGCAGGAGGCCCCTGCTGCGGGGGGAGGGGCTCGAACTTGGGGACAGCGGCGGGCTGCCGCTCCGCGGGGTCCTCCCCGCGCGGCGTCTCTGCCACAACTTTGACCCGCACGCGGCGGTTTCCGTGATAAGCGTCAGTGGGCTCGTCACTTGCTGCGGGCCAAGGTGGCGGGACTTTCCCGACGCTACAGATTGGGCAATGTTTGCCGCCGCCTGTTTGGTGCAAGACGCGGCGTGACATTATCGTTCCAAGACCACTTGCGCCCTCTGATGAAGTGGCATCCCATAACCAAACGGCGCCGGATCTTGTCACCGAACTCATCGTCGTCACTGGCGCGAGCTGTGTTGAGCGACCTATATTGGGCAATGCGTCCGAAAGGAAGCACGCGGCCCTCAACGAATTCACCATGGCGCCACTCGCAAGCGGAGCCCCTCCCCCCCCCAACCGCGCGCAGCCATCGCATCAGCAGCCCTCGAGCACGCTTTGCAAAATCAAGCGCGCGACAGCCCGCGCTGCATGAAGCAGTTTTCACGCCCTCGATCACGCGTCGAACGGCACGTTCGGAAAAGCCGTTGCTGTGGGGGCGACGAGGTACCCAGGCATCGTGGCGTACCTTCGTGAGCTGACGCGCCTTCTCGATCCTTCCCGCATTGTCAGAGTAGCTAAGCTGAGCGCTATCTCCTGGACCATTAAACTGCTGGAAGCCTCGCAACGACAACGTCTCGCCAGCATCATTATGCGACGCGGTGTAGCGCGCTACGCATCTCATTCCCCAGCCGTGGGCCACAATACATGCTGTGAAACAATGACGTGGACTACTATGGTCGCCCCCTGGGACGACATGCAACGCCACCACGCGACTTCGGGCCATCGTCTCCCGCAAGAGACCCGGCCCCATGTGTCTTCTCATCTTGTGCAACAGATCTCATATGTTGTCTAGCCTGCGCCTTTTGCGCGCTGGATGGTTGGGCCACTGGGGGGTCTTGGTTCGCGCGTAAGACATGTCGGCGCCACCTTGCGCGCCGGCGGACCTCGGAGCACCCCGCGCGGTTGCCGCAGGGATTACATCCGTGTCAGCAGCGTCAAGTCCCCCCGTCGCGCCAGTGAAGGCTTCGCCCCTACCCGCACTTGCACCAGCCACGGCGGGCCGTATGGCAACGGCAGCGGGCCTTGAACTTCCCTGGTCGGGAGCATCAGAAGGGGGCCCCCAGAGGGCCCCAGCGGGGTGGCGGATCGCCCCCCCGCACTTCATCTCGTCCTGACGTGCTTGTACCTCTTCGGCGGTGGGCATATCTGGTGCCACTTCTGTGGGCTCACCATTCCATGCGTCGTCTGTCATATCAACGCTACCACTGGCCATTGAAAACGCGAGGGCGCTACCGAGGGCGGCTTGAGCATCCTCGTTCTCATCCACTGCCCAAAGAATAATGGGATTTGCTGGTTTGAGGGGGGCCCTACGTGGACTGCGTGCGCGCGCGACCAACAGCAACAGTCCCAAAGGTCGCGCATACGTCCCCCGTGATCGATCCGGTCCGAGGAGCTTAGCCAGTCGACAGCATCTATGGCCTCCAACCGTTGTGGCCAGGCCGTACAATGGGAGGGCCAATTTGGATTACACTGGGGGGGTTCGCACTGAGCATCGCGACCTCCGAAAACTACCAAGTAGCGGCACTTTAGTGACCACTGGCACCCTGTAGCGGCCACTCGCGCGTACGACAAGCGGCCACTGGTTGCCAGTTAGCGGCCATTCAGCGGCCAGCAGCACCCTTGAATGGCCACTAGCGGCCTGTAGCGGCCACCGGCGGCAACTTAATGGCATTGAGTGGCCACTAGCGGCCACTAGCGGCCACTGGCGGCCAGGCGCGCGAGTGAAACCGCCGACCCCACCGGAGCCACAAGCGCGCGCGCCGCGAAGTGCCGATAAGTCCCGCTGTTCTAGAAAAATCATTTGAAATCCCACCAGCCATTTAGGGCGTAAGAGCGCCCCAAAAGAGGTCCAAGAGGCGATTTGTGGGGCACCCGAGGGGGTGCGTAATTGAAGCTCCCCCCTTCTTTGATCGATCCCTTCAAGATGGCCCCAAGAGCGCTCCCAAGGCTCCTCACGAGGGCCCCAAGAGGCGCCCAGGAGGCCCCAAGAGGCGCCTAAGAGGCCTCCAGGAGAATCCGAAGAGACCCCCGAGACGCCCTAAGAGGCTCCCAGAGGCGCCCAAGGCGCTCCAAGAGGCCTCTGGGACGTCCCAAGAGGCCCCAAGCTCGCCATTGTCCTCCTCCTCCCTCCTCCTCCTCC